TAAAAATCTAGTCGAGACTTAAGTGTCTATACAAGGACTAGATTCATAGATTCATAGACATTAGGGCTGGACTGGACCTTGAAGATCATCAAGTCCAGCCCCCTGCCCCAGGGGCAGGAAGTCAGCTAGGGTTAAAGGACTCCAGCAAGATAGCATCCAAGCGTTTCTTGAATAAATCCAGAGTAGATGCCTGCACCACCTCTGGAGGGAGTCTATTCCAGGTCTTGGGGGCTGGGAAAGTAAAGAAATTTTTTCTTATGTCCAGTCTAAAATGATCTTGTAGGAGTTTATGACCATTGGTCCTTGTTTTTCCTTAGGGCGCTCTGGTGAACAGACGTTCTCATAGATCCTGATGAACACCCCTTGTGTACTTATAAGTAGCCACCAGGTCCCCCTGAGCCTGTGTTTTTCCAGACTGAAGAGTCCCTTGGCTCTCAGCCTCTCTTCATAAGGCCTGTTCTCTTGCCCTCTCATCATGTGCATGGGTCTCCTCTGGACTCTCTCAAGCTTCTCGACATCCTTCTTGAATTGCGGAGCCCAGAACTGGACACAGTACTCCAGCTGCGGCCTCACCAAGGCCGAATACAGTAGGAGGATGACATCCTGAGATTTACGTGAGAACCATCTATAAATGCAAGCCAGGGTTTTGTTTGCTTACCAGCTGCAGCATCACATTGGTGTCTCATGTTCATCTTGTGGTCAGTCATGACCCCCAAGTCTCTTTCAGCAGTGGTGCTATCAAGCGTAGCGCTGCCAAGCCTATAAGTATGCCATGGGGTTTTTTTTCCCGAGGTGGAGTACCTTGCATTTATCAGTATTGAACATCATCAGGTTTGTGTCCTTCTACTTACTAAGCTTATCCAAGTCAGCCTGGATCACTACCCTGTCCTCAGGTGTGGACACTATGCCCCAAAGTTTAGTGTCATCGGCGAAATTAGCCAGTGCTTTTCTGACACGAGTGTCAACATCATTGATAAAGATGTTGAAGAGAACAGGTCCAAGGACAGAGCCTTGGGGGATACCACTGGTTACAGAGTGCCATAAACTGGATCAAAGGCTTTTTTAAAGTTTAGGTATATGACATCAATCTCTTCTCCCTTGTCCAGGTGATACATCACCTGGTCATAGAAGGAGATGAGATTGGTCAAGCAAGATGTACCCATGACAAACCTGTGCTGGCTATCCCTCAGGATGTTGCCCTCAGCCAGCTTGTCCAGAAGGGTCCCCTTGATAATTTTCTTGAGAATCTTACCAGGGATTGAGGTCAAGCTGATTGGCCTGTAATTCCCGGGATCTACTTTCCGCTCTTTCTTGAAGATGGGTACCACATTGACCTTCTTCCAGTCTTCAGGTACTTCACCTGAGCACCACGAATTTTTGAATATTTTTGCCAATGGCTGAGCTATGACACCTGCCAGCTCCTTGAGTATTTATGGTGTCAGCTGTCAGGAACAGATGACTTGAAGTTGAGGTGTCCAGCCTCTCAAGGTGATCCTTTACAAGATCAACACTGATGCTGGGTATAAATACACCCTCACCCTGGCCATCCCATGTCTTGCTAGGCAGGGCGGTCCCATTGGACTGATGAAAGACCAAAGTACTCATTAAGTAGGTTGGCCTTTTTCTGGGTGTCAGCTATCAGCTGTCCTGTTTGGCTCAGCAGGGGCCCAATGTTACCCTTGCTTTTTTTCCGACTCCCTACATATCTGAAAAAGCACTTTTTGTTATCCTTGATATGTGAAGCCAGATGGAGCTCGGTTGCAGCCTTGGCTTTCCTGATCAGCTCCCTGCAGGTATGGACCAGTGCGGAGTAATCCTTCTTGGAGGTAATTCCAACCTTCCATCCTTTATAAGTCTCTCTTTTGAGGCGTAGGAGATCCTTGAGTTCCCTGCTGAGCCAAGGGGGTTACTGCACCCTTTTACTACCCTTCCTCCAAGATGGGATGGCCATCCCTTGTACTGTCAGGATCACTCCCTTGAGGCGCAACCACTCCTCTTGAATTACTCTGCCTGTTGAGTCGTGGTCCCTTAGGGCCTCAACAAAGAGACTCCTGAGCTTGTCAAAGTCAGCTTTCCTGAAGTCAAGGACTTCTGCTTTGCTGACTGACTTGCCAGCTTTGAAATGGATAGTAAAGGTGATCAGCTTGTGGTCACTATCACCCAACTGTCCATCAATTCTTAGGTCACTGACTATGTCATCCCCTTTGGCCAGTACCAGGTCCAACAATGCTTTGCCTCTTGTCGGCCCATAGATTTCTTGAGTCAGGTAGAGCTCATCCATGCATGTGAGGAAGCTTTGTGACCAATCGGATTTAGCCGAATGCTCTTCTCATGAGATGTCTGGATAGTTGAAGTCTCCCATGACAACCATGCATCAAGAGCGTGCAGCCTCAGCCAGTTCCCTGGCGAATTCCTGGTCCAGCTCTTGTTTCTGGTTAGGAGGTCTGTAGCAGACTCCTACCATGATGTCCCCTGAGCCACGTTCCCCAAGTATTTTGACCCAGAGAGACTTCAGTCATCCCTCCTGGGTGCCAATGTCAATTTGGAAGGAAGTGTAGCTGTCCTTGACGTAGAGGGCTACCCCCCCACCCCTTTTATCTGCATGATCATGCCTGTACAGGGTATAGTCATCTATACCTGTGGCCCAATCATAGGTGGAGTCCCATCAGGTCTCTGTTATCCCTATCAGGTTGTAGTTATTCTTGTTTAGCAGGAGGACCAGTTCCTCTTGTTTATACCCCAAGCTTCTGGCATTGGTGTACAGGCAGGCAAGTGTCCAACTGCGGGTCCCTGCCTTCCCCACTGATCATTCTGGGGCTAGGGTAGAGGTGGGTTTCCTTAAGTGCCTTGGCCCTCTGGATTTACAAGGGTTACCCAGCGGGCCACCAGTGGCGGTAATCCCCACAACCCCCGGCGGGCTCAGTTTAAAGCCCAGTCAAGCAGGTCAGGCAGTCTGGCTGAGAAGAGCCTCCTCCCCAGTGGAGTGAGGTGGAGGCCATCTCTCCCCAGCAGACCACCGCGTCTCTCACCAAAGAGCAGACTGTGATCATGGAAGCCAAAGCCTTCACGATGACACCAGAGCCTCAGTCTTGGCTTGACTACCTCAACCCATCTCTCTCTCCTCCGCCCATGACCCACAACCGGGAGGAGCAAGGAAAAGACCACCTGCACCCCCAACCCCCTACCCCCCTCTCCCAGAACCCTGTAGTCTCTCATGACCTGGCTGGTATTGCTCCAAGCCATGTCATTTGTGCCCACATGGATAAGAAGCATAGGGTAGTGGTCGGAGGCCTGGATAATATTTGGTATCCTCTCTGCTATGGCCTTGATATGGGCCCCTGGGAAGTAGCAGACCTCCTGGGCTAGGGGGTCGGGGCGGCAGATTGCCCCCTCAGTCCCCCTCAGGAGGGAGTCTCCCATGACAACCACTCTGCTTTTCATCTTAGGGTGAGTAGGGGTGGGTGATTCTCCCTTGCTTACAGGAGCTGGCATCTTCACAGGCTCAACTGGGGCTGCAAGGGGTCCATACCTGTTGCAGAGCTCCAGAGGGAGGGGATCTTGGGGCCCTTGACCACCTTGGTCCAGCCCCCCAGCCCTCCAAAGTGGAGCAATCCCTGCAAGGGGAGGTGGCCATGCTCCCAGTCTCATTAGCCTGGAAACGTGCCAGGCAGTCCCCACAGCTGAGAGCCAGGGTCTCCATCTGTGTGGAGCCCAGAACCATGGGTTCTGTCTGGGTGGAGGCCTCTGTGGTGCCAGAGGAGGAGGCTGCAGACTCCGAGGGGACCCTCGGGGTGCAGCATGTGCCCATCTGCATCATGCTGCTGGTAGGCCGGCTACTGATGGTACTGCCTACCCTAGGGGGATCACTGGCAGGGCCATGGGCCCTCCCACTGACCCTCCTGCACAAACTCCCATGCTAACTCATGCGCTGGGCCCAGCAGTGTACTTGTTTGCGCAGCCTGTTCACAAGGCTCCAGTTGCGCGGCTCTCTGAGGGGCTGGGCGAAGTAGGAGCAAGGGGGGGTATGACCCTCCTTGGCTTCACTCAGCCACCTCCCAGCTGGCTGTGTTGCTCCTACCATGGGCCCCTGTTTACCTGTTAGCAGGCCAGGGCTCATTGTGGGTCCTGGGGTCTCTCCTTGGGGGTCCCTGGGCTCGCGGGGGCACAGCAGGCTTTCACCCACGCACCTTGCACCAGAGCCAAAACCCAACTAAGCTTTCTTGATATTCTAGTCCCAACTCGGAGTGCTGAAGAGTGTTGATAATTTAGCCTGATGTCTATGAAAGGCTGAATCAAAACCCTGTCTCTGGATATACTTAACATTTGGGCATATGAAGACTTAAACACCAGATTTGCATCAAATGTTGCCCTCCAAAACCCATTTTTTGCTTTAAATAATAACTTTTATTATATACAAATAGCTGTAAATTGATGAATATCCAACTTCATGAAAGAAAATTGCATGTAACAGGAAAAAGTATGATAATGGAAGTACATGACATTATATTTAAGTTACAGCCTTTAAAGCTGCTTTATGGCCACTTCGAGATTTTAATTTGAACTACCTTGACAGGGTACTATGTTTTGGAAAGTTCTGAGCACCTGACCTTCTGGAATGGTCATAGACTCCACCGTGACCGATTCAGGCTGGACATAAGAAGGAACTTCTTCACTGTCCGAGCCCCCAAGGTTTGGAATAGGCTGCCGCCAGAGGCGGTTCAAGCACCCACTTTGAACACCTTCAAGACACATTTGGATGCTTATCTTGCTGGGATCCTATGATCCCTGCTGACTTCCTGCCTCTGGGGCAACGGGTGGGACTCGATGATCCTCCAGGGTCCCTTCCAGCCCAAACGTCTATGAAGTCTATGAAATGGAAACAAACCCTTTTAAGGCATTGCAAACTGAGATTCCCTCAATGCATAAACGGTGCTTGAAAATCTTGGCCTTGGAGTTTCTACTCAGAAGACTGTTGTAGCTTTTTTTTCTTTCTTTTACAGAATATCTGCCAGACACTCTGGTGTTCTGTGAAAGGTTCTTGCCGATCAAAACTAGATGCTGCTGCAGATGGAACCAGATGTGGAGAAAACAAGGTGATTATGGGCTTCAATTGTCTGAAAAGGCACTTGGGAAAGTACGAATTGCTACTCGACAGGCTTTGTCCACATTCCAGATTAAACTAAATGGCGTCCTGTAAGGTGTCTATTATTTTTGTTCTGTTGAACTTTAGCAAACTTCCATGGAGTTTACTCATAATTGCATCTTTCTTTGCTACTAAGCTGAATCCCTGACCTTTCTCTACCAGCTCTCATTAAGTTATCATTGTTTGTCTTCTTGTACTCCAACTGAGAGGGCTAACAAACACATTTCTTTTCAACCAATGCCAACTGAAAACCAGCAGGCAATCAGCTTCCTAGTTTAGAGCGATTGCAAGATATGACCTCAATACTTCTCCATGTTATGCCCAGCTGGTGCTTGCTAAAAGAGCCAGGCTATCCAGTCCTGTCTGGATTTGTCTAATTGCTGGAATCCAAATACTTGTGCCCTCTTGAAAGCACAGAGGCAGAAAGAGATCTTGGAGTCATTATTAACTCCAAGATGAACATGAGCCGCCAATGCCAGACTGCAGCCAGCAAGGCCAGCCATACCTTACTTAGGGCTTCAAAGTTGCTGTAGGCAAAATATTAAAATCTTTCACCAGCTGGCAAGCTAAGTGTCTGGGAGACTATTCGCTGAAGTCCCATGGGGCACTGGGGAAAATGTGTAGCTTCACCTGGGGGAAAATTGTAAAGTATGTGTCCTTTCCTCTGCAGAGGCATTCTTTACTAGGAAAGTGCTGCAAGATTGGTTCCCACACCTTCTTTGCGTTACATGGAGGGAAACATCCATTCCTACTTTATATTATGCTATACTAATAATTAAAATTCTCCTTATCATGTCTATCCTCTACTTCTGTGATTCACTGCTCACTCCTTTCCATTAAAGGTGATTAAGCATGGAAGCTATGCAACAGAACAAGAAATCTCTCACCTGATAATTTTCTCAGTGTTAGTGGCTGCTGTTTCTCATTCAACCCATCCCACTAAGCTGGTAAATGACCAGAAAGCAAATTAAAATGTTTCTCTGGACGGAGGCTGTAGGAGTGGACAGACTGAACAGTTACAAACTGTAAAAAGAAGTAGAGGGAGAATTTACTGTGGTTCAGCTGACTTAACACTTTTTTGTCTATCCATTTCAACCTGCAATAAGTAGAAGCTAACCTGAAATAATTTATTATGTATTTTATTTAGGGTTATCACAAATGCTAGCACCTTCTGCAATGTACATTTCTTTGGCATTTGCTCTGTGTGTATATTGGATTGTATTACGTTGTATCACATAACATAACATTATATTATATATGAATATATTATATGAATTTGACATGCATATAATTTGTATGGTAAGATCTGATTAAAAACCCACATGAGCCCTACCAAAAAAAGACATTCCCCTGTGCACAGTTTCCGGGAGAAGATGAGTGAACAAACAAATGACAGACATTAGTTGCATCAGATAACACACCACTCAAAAGCACTCAGTCATTACGTTGAAAAGTATGCAGTAAATACTGCCGTAAAAAATAATGGATGAGATGAGACTGAAATCCTGGCCATTTGTGGTAGTTAAAATTAATTGGAATTCTCCAGCTTCCAGTGGAGGCAATTGCTTTTCACCAGTCAAAATTCCCCCTGAGATTTCATTTGCAGTCCATTTAATTTCACAGGAGGCTATATAATAGTGGAAGATATCATCATAAAATCATAGAAAATTAGGGTTGAAAAGGACCGCAGGAGCTCATTTAGTCCAACCCCCTCCTCAAAGCAGGACCATCCCCAACCAGATCATTTCAGGCAAGGCTCTGTCTAGCCAGGTCTTAAAAACCTCCAAGGATGAAGGCTCCACAACTTCTCTGGGTAACCTGTTCTAGTGCTTTCCTATCCTCCATGAATGACATGTGCCTCCAGAGGCTGGGGGGGGCGGGACAGTGAATACCCACAGACAGCAGTGTTGGTGATGGGGGGGTGGCAGCAGCAAGCAGGGACCATCCTCAGGTGGCCACAGAGGTGTAAGTGGTGAGGAGGGGGGCGGGCGGTGAGCGGGGACCACCCCCAGCTGCCATTTGTACTGTTGTGTATGGTGAGCTGGGACTGCCTGCAGCCACCAGCAGTTGTGCCAGTGGCGGGGGGGGGGGGGGGCAGAGGCAACTGGTGGTGGCTTTGGCAGCAGCCAATCTCAGTGGGGGGCATATGCCCCCCTGTGCCCCTCCTACATATCACCTATGGTAAGAAAGTATTTCTTAACATCTAACCTAAACTTTCCTTACTGCAACTTGCTACAAATGGTTATTGCTCCTTGTTCTGCCAACTGCCACCACTGAGAATAGTATTATCTTCTTTATAACTGCTTTTCAGGTAGTTGAAGGCTGCTATTAATTCCCCCCTCAATTTTCTTTTCTCTTCTCCAGACTAAATCAGCTTAGTTCCCTCAGCCTTTCCCCAGAAGTCATGTGCCCCAGCTCCCTAGCCATTTTTATTGCCCATTGCTGGACTCTCTTCAATTTGTCTACATACTTTCTGTAGTGGGGGGCCCAAAACTGGACACAGTTCTCCAAATATGGCCTCACCAGTGCTGAGCAGAGGGGAATAATCACTTCCCTTGATCTTCTAGCAACTCTCCTACTAATGCAGCCCAGTATGCTGTTAGCCTTCTTCGCAACAAGGGCACACTGCTGGCTCGTATTCAACTTACTGTCTGCTGTAACTCGCAGATCCGTTTCTGAAGAGCCAGTCTGGCCCCACCCTGTATTGTGCAACCTGTACTGTCCTAAGGGCAGGATTTGGAACTTATCCTTATTGAATCTTATGAGATTTCTTTTGGTCCAGTCCTCCAATTTGTTGAGGTCTCTCTGAATCCTAACCCTATTCTCCAGTGTATCTATTACTAGGGCTGTGCAAGGCTTCGGACAGAGCTTCAGATCTGGAGAAGCTTCAGACACTTTGGAGTCTGAAGCAGCACACCCGGGTTGAAGTGCTGGCCTTGTTAGGCTTCCCGAAGTGATTTGGAGCTTCCGAAGTGCTTCGGAGCCGCCTTGGAGATCCGGCCATAGGGTATAATGGGGAAAAAATAAGCTATCTATAACTTTGTTGTTTTTTGTCCGATTTGGATAAAAATTTAAGGGTGGTAGAATCTGGAGAAAGCATGAAGCCTGCCAAGTTTCAAGAAGATTGGTGCAGGGGGTTGGGGGGAACTGCACCCCACATTCTTGAAAGCAAAACTGATGTCACGTCTAGGCATTACAACATAGGGGGGTGAAAACTGCACGGCTGGTAGCTCTTGCTGAGGCCACAAAGCCTGCCAAGTTTCAAGAAGATCAGTGCAGGGGGTTGGGGGGAACTGCCCCTCGAGCTGAGGACAAGCAAAACACGTGCCATGGGTGACACTGCGTGTGTTAAGGCTCAGTGGGGTGACAGCTGCAGGGTTTGTGGCCCCTGCTGCAACCACGACACCTGCCAGCTGTCGAAGAGATGGGTGCAGGGGGGTTCTGGGGCCCTGCACCCCTAGCTGCTGACAGACAAAACTCATGCCAGCTCAGGGACCAGCTCAATACACAAGACCTAGCTAATGTAGCCAGTTAATTGCCATCAATTAGCACCTGCAAAACGAGGCTAAGGAGAGGAAAGAATCAATACAAACAATCAATTGGCCCAAGACAGACACAGTCAGTCCCACAAGCACCCATGGGACGAGTTTTGTCTGTCAGCAGCTGGAGGTGTAAGGCCCCAGAACCCCCCTGCACCGATCTCCTTGACAGCTGGCAGGCTTCGTAGCCTCAGCAAAGGCCACCATCCCTGAAGCTGTCACCCCGCTGCACCTTAGCACACGCAGTGTCACCCATGCCACGAGTTTTGCTTGTCCTCAGCTTAAAGTGCAGCTCCTCCCTGCACAGATCTTCTTGAAACTTGGCAGGCTTTGTGGCCTCAGCAAGAGCTACCACACCTGCAGTTTTGACCCCCCTGTGGTGTAATGCATAGACATGACAGGAGTTTTGCTTTCAAGAATTTGGGGTACAGTTTCCCCAAAACCCCTGCACCAATCTTCTTGAAACTTGGCAGACTTTGTGGCCTCAGTAAGAGCTACCACCCCTGCAAGTTCCATCCAAATAGGACAAAAAACAACAAAGTTATAGATATTTCATTGTTTCCCCCCTATGCGCTATGGCTGGATCTCCGAGGCAGCTCTGAAGCTTTGAAGCCTCTTTGGCCGGATTGAGGTGGAAACCCAGTCCGGAGCTCCAGATGAGATCACTGCCATCTGAAGCGGCCAGGTTCGAAGCCAGATCAGATCGCTGCCAACTCTCACAGGTCTATCTATTATTCCCCCATCTTGGTGTCATCTGCAGACTTGATGAGGGTGCACTCCATCCCATCTTCCAGGTTGTTGATAAAGATATTAAAGAAAACCAGCCCTAGGACCAACCCCCGGAGCACTCCTCTTGATACTGCCTGCCAATTAGAAATTGAGCCATTGACAATTACCCTTTGAGCCTGATGATCTGGCCAGTTTTCCATCTTACAGTCCATTCATGTAACCCATACTTCCTTAGCTTGCTTGCAAAAATGTTCTGGGAGATTGTATCAAAAGCCTTGATGAAGTTAAGTATATCATGTCCACTGTACTCTCTATAGCCACAGAGCCAGTCACCTCAACACACAAGGCAACCAGATCAGGTAGGCATGGATTGCCCTTGTGAAAACCATGCTCCTAATCACCTCCTTCTCTTCCAAATGCTTAGAAATGGATTCCTTGAGGGCCTGTTCCATGATTTTTCCAGGAACTGAGGTGAACCTCACCCATCTGTAGTTCCCCAGAAACTTATTCTTCCCTTTCTTAAATATGGGCACTATTTTTGCCCTTTTCCAATCATCCAGGCCCACTCCCAATTGCCATGAGTTTTCAAAGATAATGGCCAGTGGCTCTGCAATCATATCCCTCAGCATGCTCAAACTACATGGACTTGTATACATGCAGCTTTTCTAAGTAGTCCCTAACC